CAAGTTTAATATTATATGTCCTTTATTGAATTTAAAAGGATTTTGAATTTAAAAGGATTTTGAATTTAAAAGGATTAAAATGAAGCAATGCATTTTAATTTTTTTTTCATAAATTCGCCATAATGAATTTGCCGTTAAGTATTTTAACTTTATATCATTTGCTAATATTTTTACTTATAGAAAAAAGTTTTTTTATCACCTTATATCTGTGTAAAGAGATGTTTTATATGCAAATAAAAATTTAATATGAGATTATTATGCCATAAATCCATAGTGTGATTACATTAAAGTACTACTTTTAGTATCTGTAAATATTTTCTATTATGCAACAGCTATTTTTAGAGTTATATTATGCTTATTATGCTCTGTGAAAACCTTTTATCAATTTGTTTTAAAAGAAAAAAGATCTTTTTTTTTTTTTTTGAACATCTTCGCTTCTAACAAAGCTGCAAGCAACCACCAATTAGTGTTGGAAGTTATTCGAAGAGAAAAGATGAAAATTGTAGAGCAAGATAACAATTGACTGACGACTTAAAAGATTGCAAACTATATGAATCAGGAAAGCAAGATAAAGGAAGCGAATTCCAAATAACCTATGTTCGAGGAAAAAAACTAGACTAGTAAGAGTTTTTAGAGCACTTAGGAACAGTAACAGAAAAAGGATGAGACTTAATTGAATGACGAGTAACAGGAGAATAAACTTTAATAGATGGCACAAGAGACGCTAGCTCTTTAGAGCAATGCCCATTATAGTATTTGTAGAAAAGAGAAAGAAAAGCAACATTACGACAATGTGACAGAGGTTGAAGAATTGGCTGCAAGAGCAGGTCCAACTATGTTTACAATGCGTTTTTGCACCGTTTCTAAAAGAGAAAGGGCATCATAAGAAGATATGGCAACAGTATTCCATACAAGGCCGGATTTGAGATTTATAGAGATAGAGAATAGAATCTAGAGTAAGAAATTGTCCAGCTCGATAAAGAGAAGCAACTTTAGCAGATGCTAATTTTGCAACGGGTTTGATATAAGGTTTCCAAGAAAGATCAGAAGTAAGAGTTATTCCTAGAAGATGAAGGGTAGGAGACTCATCGAGTACATTACCGTTCATAAATATAGGAAGGTCTAAATTATTGCGATAACAATTGGCTGAAAAAAATTGAGTTTTATTTGAATTAAAGTTCACCAGCCACTGTGAGCCCCATGCTGTAGCAGAAGTGAGATCCTAGAAAAAATAAAAACTTACATAACCTTATCAGGTTGTTTATATATTAAATTTCTAATCAAAATAAAATAAAAAATAAATAAATAGTATTAGTAAATAAATAGTAAATAAATTTTGTTTTTTATTTGATAATCAAATTTTATATGCCATTCTAATTAATAACAACAACAACAATCTATTTATTTTCCTTAAATCGATTTTACAATGTTATTATTAATAATAAAAATAATACTAACAATAATACTAACAAAATATATTACTAATATTTTAGGAAAATAAAGTTAATACAAATTATAGTATTACTAATAATAAGTATGCTAACAATAGTTACAATAAAAAAAAAAAAAAAAATTATATTGGTAATAATATGCATAAAATTATTTATAATAATAATTCAATAATTTATTAGGATCATGTCACTCATACAAAATTTTGATCAAAGGAGTGTAGGTTACACCCCAGTGAAAGTAGGTTCAAGCCAAAAAAAATGTCCCAGGGTCATGTGATCTGACCGTACTGACCTCTACTTTTAGAAAATAACACTAAGGAAAAAAAATTTCATGGTCCAGGGAAAAAAAACATTTTTTCAAGCATAACAAAAAACCAGTATTTTTCCTTATATGTACAATAAATATTTTGTTCGATCATGAATTATTTCATATTTTAAAATATATTTTAAATGATTAATACATATTTAAAGCTTATAAAATGTTCGCAATAGACACATTTTTCATTGGAATATGTTCTTGTTAGGGGAATATGTTCACAATAGACAGATATATAAAGGGAATAAGCTCTTACATCAATTATGATTACTAAGTTATTAAACAAACATTTCAGATAGTTTTATTCCTTAATGTTAAAAAACAATTTTGATGCATTGTTCAAGCTCAATAACTTCATAAAGAAGTTTAAAAATGCTTGAATATTTTTAATTTAAATAGCTATTTAATTATTTCCTATGGCAAACAAAACCATATTGAGATTTTGGTATTTAAATACACGTGAATTACAGTTATAAGATTATATAAAATATGTTTAAGTCTTCTAAAAACATAAATGTCTCATTTTAATTTAAATTTGAAATGCGTCTGTCTACTATAATGCCAAACTAATTCCTAAATACCTTTTAAGGCCACATATTGTGAAATCCGGCATACCTTGCTTTGACAATTCAACCAACTGCAAGGGTGAGTAGAAGAAGCTGCTTCAATGCCAAAATAAATATTCGCAAGCTTCAAGTCAAATGCTAAAAAATACTTTTAGTCACAATACCTAATAGTTCTGTAATTTACTTAATGTTTTGATTATTCTCTCAATAGTCCTATGATTTACTTAATTTTTGGGTTCAAAAAACTCTCTCTTTTTCCAGCTCCTAAGAACACTACAGGCAGTTTCTGTTTGAGTGTCGCTTAACCCAAGTATATTTTTGAATCTTGTGACTTCACTAGCTGGCACCATGTTTTCAGGAAAAAGAGATTTCAATTCTGTTTCCTTTCGAATTTAAATAATAAAATGTTTAGACACTTTGTTAGCAAGCTTTATTAACTCACCTGCATCCACTTTAGTTTCTGCTTTAGGATTTTAGTACAAAAAAGCTTTGTTCCTCTCTCTTCTGAAATATATTACATTTTTACGATCAAAAATTGTATGTACTTACATAATACTATATTCTATTGGTTTTAACGTAAATTATTAATGCACGTATGGTTTTAGGTTATATAATTATTATATATATACATACAAACTAACCTCTAGACAGTGCTGTCTCAAGATTATCCCTGAAAATTGAAATATTGCATGGGTGAGGTAAACTGCGTTTTATTGTGTATAAACATCTTTGGCATAAAGATATGAGTAGGAGAGGTGTCAAAATTGATTCAGTGGATACTCGTCTTCTTTTTTTTTCAATTTTTTTCTGATCCCTTGTAATAATAGAAATTCTTATTCCAGAAAAATGATATGGCGCTGGAAGAGCTTCAGTTTCTTATATACGATTTTCAATGAGCTCCAGAAATTTTATGTTGCGTGAACAGATACCAGATAGATAATGTTCCTTAGCCAAGTCTTATTTTGGAATAAAATAATTTTGAAGTCTTCTATAGGTTAGGCCAGTTATTTCTCTAATCATTTTGTCATTCTCAAAGCACACTATGCAAACCTTTTTTCGGTTATCTTTGTAGAGTTTAATGCCTGATCAGACATTGTTGAAATACTGGTGGCACAAAATGTTGAGTTTGGTGAATGTATTAAAGGATATATCGTGTTTAGCGATTGACTTTCGTAGTTGGTTTTCATAGATTTCCTTAAATATAATATAATAGTTGTTATTAAAATTGTCTCTAGATAATCATTTCTAACACACGCTTAGACAGGGCCGACGACACGGGTTTCGAAGTGTGGGGAGGGGGGGTTGCACAATCATCAATTTGTGAAAAAAGTCCTCTTTGTCAAGATTTTTCGTAAAAAAAAAAAAAGTCCTTTAGAAAAGTGGAGGGAGGGCACGTGCCCCTTGACCCCCTCCCCCGGTGTTGTCGGCCCTGTTAGAATAATGTTTAAAAATTGCACAACAAGCAGCTTTTTTTGGAAAATCATATGAAAAACTCTATATAAAGATTGATTTATATAAATGATCTATAATGATTGTTTAACTTTTCCCTGAGAGATTATTTCCGCACAAGAAATTCTTGCTTTAATGAAATAAAAGCCAATTAGAACTTGATTAACAAGAAAACTAAATTGTAATAATTATTTATATATATGAATTGAATTTTATTTACATGAATAATTATTTATATATATGTATTGAATTCAATACATATATTTAAATATTTATAAATAAATGTTGAAGAAAAAAGAACACATATATTCTAATACATATATATATATATATGTATATATATATATATATATATATATATATATATATATATATATATATATATATATATATATATATATATATATATATATATACATATATATATATATATATATATATATATATATATATATATATATATATATATATATATATACATATATATATATATATATATATACATATATACATATATATATGTATATATATGTATATATTTATATACATATATACATACACACTCCTATCGCGCATAAATATACCCACACACTCGCTTGTACATATACCCACACACTCCTATCGCGCCGGCCTTGTATATATATATATATATATATATATATATATATATATATATATATATATATATATATATATATATATATATATATATATATATATATATATAATTATATATATACACACACACATATATATATATATATAATATATATATATATATATATATATATATATATATATATATATATATATATATATATATATGTATGTATATATTTATATATGTATATATATACATATATATATATATATATATATATATATATATATATATATACATATATATATACATATATTTATATATATATATATATATATATATATATATATATATATATATATATATATATACATATATATATATATATATATATATATATATATATATATATATATATATATATATACCCTTCATTAATGATTTTTAGTCGGCAAACTGGACCCTTAGTCGGCAAATTGAACCTTTTTTTTCGATATAGGTTAGACAGTCGGCAATATTAAAAAGCTATTTATATATTTTTTTTTTTCAAAAAATTTGCTTTTCGGTTTATGCAAGGCAGTTTGTTTTAAAAGATGCTTGAATGATTTTTTTTTTAGACTTAAATTCAATTAAATACTTAAAACATATTAAAAAAAAAACATGTCTGATGCTCCAAACAAAAGTTCTAAAGGCAGCGCGGAATCAAAGATAAATATGAAACCAAATTTCGGATTTCTACGTTCTCCTCCAGGGATTCTGATGGCTGTAAACATAGTAAGTGAAAACTCTTTGACGTTTTAAATTTATTTTAACATTAAGTTTGCATTTTTTATTTTCACATTTTTATTTTATATCTTACATTAATTATTTTTTGCCCATTAATATTAATAAAAATTGTTTTATTTCAAGGTTCTACTGTTTATTGCTTGGGTAATAATGGCTGGTTGGAAAGACAATAACGTTTATTATTTTTTGTTTTCTGGACATGTATCTTACTTTTTATTTGCCACAATCACACCTTGGTTGGTTCTTTGCATTCTCTTTATTTTATTTATTTTCAAGATCCACACAAAAATACCTATCAATTGGCCGCTTACTGTAAGATATTTAATAAATTTGTTTGATTAATAACTTTTAATGGGGAACTTACCACCTCTAGTGCTTACAGAAACTGTGTAAGTATCCACCGTGTCTATTGAAACTAGAACAAAAGATTTATTCAATAAAAAAATCTAAAAAATAAAATCAAATGAAAACTTGCTCAGCATATCTAGTTTTACTTTCGGAACTAAAATACGTATAAATGCATATTCGTCACGATCAAGGCGCAAAACAAAAACTTGTTTATTTTCCGGGCAGCTTTATTTGAGTTTAACATGTCTTTTTGAAGTTTTAAAGTCAAATTCAAATATTGCGTTCCATTATCACTAGTTTCACATTCTCAACTGAAATTTACTTAAGTATAATATTACGTTTCCGTAACTGTGGAACCATTAACATTTTTAATTGGCGTTTTTAGTAAATAATAAAATTTAATTTCAAGATATGAAAACCATACTTGGCAAATGTTATTCTTATTTTTTTGAAAGCTTTAGACCAGCAAAATAATCTAGGCGTAACTTTCTTCGAGTTGGGGCGGCTGGGTAAAAGTTTTGTATAGTTAATTTTAAATAAGTTTATTGAATATGCAAAAAGGTAGTGTTTAATTATTAAATATTTTAAAACTAATTTATAACCTAATTTAATAATCTAATAAAATAAATTAATAATCACCTCTTTTTACCTAGTCTAAGGTTTTTGACTATTTACTTAACTATGGGTTTAAAACAAGGGTACAGAGGTGAATCTAAGAATAAAATAAAAGAAAGGTAAATTTTTAAAATATTCTAAAAAGTTCCTTAAAAAAAAATCCTCAAAATTAAAAGTTACCAGACTGAAATGTACACATGCGCTACTTTTCTGTTTAAAACGCTAATTTATTTTCTGTCAATGATGAACGCTACTATATTTTCTGTGTATGATGAACGCTACTATATTTTCTGTCTATGATGAACGCTACTATATTTTCTGTCTAAGACGAACGCTACTTTATTTTCTCTATATGATAAACGCTACTTTATTTTTTGTCTATGATGAACGCTGCTTTATTTTCTGTCTATGATAAATGCTGCTTTATTTTCTGTCTATGATGAACGCTACTTTATTTTCTGTTTATGATGAACGCTACTTTATTTTTGTCTTTGATGAACGCTACTTTATTTTCTGTCTATGATGAACGCTGCTTTATTTTCTATGATGAACGTTACTTTATTTTCAGTATATGATAAACGCTGGATCTTTCTCATTAATGATTTTGTTGTTGTCGTTTTGGTAATAACCATTAGCAGCTCTTTCTGTTATCTCCTAGTGAAGATAAAAGTTGGCTGTTTATTTTTAGATTTCAACCTCATTTTCTGACTCCTATAGTCAGAATTTAATATACTGTTACGAAGTGGTATGTAACAATAACTCAAGCTTTTACTCCAACATGTTACTCAACAGTATGTAACAAGCGTTTCTACTTTTATTTATTTAAATTTGTCATCTGGTCACGTGACCAGGACAAGATTACTTATTATGCAATTTCTGCCACCAATTTTATAAGATTTAAAAAAGTTAACTTAGTAAAGTAAAGTAACACGAAGTTGTTTTCGCTATTTTTGTGTTACTTTAGTTTACTTAGTAAACTAAAGTAACACGAAAATAACACGCAACCGCAAAAAAATTTTACTAAAAAAGTTACACCCAAAGGACATCATTTATTATGAATAACCAAAACTAATATAAAACATATTTATACCAAATTACTAAATTGAAATATTAATTAAAAAAAAAAAAGTTTGTTAAAAAAAGAAAAAATATGAAAAAAAGAAGAAATCTTGTATTTTGTCTACTTTAGATTCACTCTAATTTCACACTTTGCACAACAATATATATATATATATATATATATATATAATATATATATATATATATATAAATATATATATATATATATATATTATATATATATATATATATATATTTATATATATATATATATATAAATATATATATATATATATATATATATATATATATATATAAATATATATATATATATATATATATATATATATATATATATATATATATATATATATATATATATATATATATATATATATATATATATGTATATATATATATATCTATATTTATATATATATATATATTTATATATATATATATATATTTATATATATATATATATTTATATATATATATATATTTATTTATATATAGACTCAACACTAAAAGTCGAATTTTTAAAGATGTTATTGACATTAGTAAAGAATAAAATAAGAAAAAAAAATCGTTTTAAAAATCGCTATAAAGCTAGCGGTTCGCTAGCTCAATTCCCACCGGGAATAATATTTAAGCAATTTTTGCAAGCAAATAAAAATAAAGTCTTTGACATCTTTATTTTTTGGAAGTTAATGAACTAAGTCTGTAAAAATAAGTATTGATTATTATACTTAAGATATGCCCAACAAATTAGCAAATCATGATGAATCTAGAGTAAAAATGTGTGCATTATGTGGGGAAAAAAAATTAAAAAAAAAAGTCTCAGCAGTTCGCTATCACAGAAAAGATAGCTGAACAAACTAAAATGTATATAAATTCAGATTTTGAAATAGCAAACAGCAAATATCCTCTTAGTATATGTGGCACCTGCAGAAAAACACTAAATGAGCGAGACCAAGATATTAAAAAGAGAATATATATATATATATATATATATATATATATATATATATATATATATATATATATATATATATATATATATATATGTATATATATATATATATATATATATATATATATATATATATATATATATATATATATATATATATATATATATATATATATATATATATATATATATATATATAATATATATATATTGGATCTAAGAAAAATATTTTGATAATAAAAAAAAAAAATAAAAAAAAAAAAAATCTTGTAACAAAAAAAAAAGTCCTGAATATTTTTTTCAAAGTTTTTATACTGTTTTTGTTTTCTTTTATTAGGGTTGCTATTTTCAGCTACGAAATTTGATACAAGTCAAGGAAAAGGCTACAATAAATCATAAAGTTTTCACGAAGATAAAAAGACTTGATACGTAATTTATTCACTAACTTTATTAGATAATGTATTAAAAAAACTGATGCATTATTTACGCTAGACAAATTTGATTAAATTTTTCATTTAATTTAGTTTTTACGAAGGTTTATGCAAAGGCGATGACGTTATTCCCCAATACTTAGACAAGAAAATAAATTGCTGTTTTAATTATTAAATATATTATTTGAGATTTTAAAGATAACAAAGTTTTAGTGTGAAATATATATATATATATATATATATATATATATATATATATATATATATATATATATATATATATATATATATATATATATATATATATATATATATATATATATATATATATATATATATATATATATATATATATATATATATATATATATATATATATATATATATAATTTTGTTATCTTTAAAATTTTAAATAATATATTTAATAATTAAAACAGCAATTTATTTTCTTGTCTAAGTATTGGGGAATAACGTCATCGCCTTTGCATAAACCTTCGTAAAAACTAAATTAAATGAAAAAATTTAATCAAATTTGTCTAGCGTAAATAATGAATCAGTTTTTTTAATACGTTATCTAATTAAGTTAGTGAATAAAGTTCTCTCTCGACTTATTCTAAACTGATTATACTGAGTCAAAGCTCGCCTTTTATTGCGTTGAAATTATTTATTTGCATAATTTTGTAATTACGAAAAAAGTTAAAATAATAATTGCATTGCTTCTGTTGTCATTGTTACGAAAACAGTTCCTTCGTGACATTATTATATATTAACACTTGTTCACAAAGTCAATTAATGATTGCAAAAGAAGCAACCCAATCGTTTGACAATAAAATTTTCTTTTATTTGAAAATTGAAAAAAAACATATTTTACAAATAAATAGCAATCGTTTTCGCGCTTTCTTGCGTACCAATACATTTAAATATTTAAATGTATTTACGAAATATTTAAAAATTAATTAAAGTTCTATCGTGAATTTTAAAGTATTACTGACTGATAAAAGTCATAAACAAGTTTTACATTAAAAGCAGTGGCGGATTGAGGTTTAGTGTCGCGGGGGGGCCAAGTCAATAAATAGGGGCGACCGGGGTTGCCTTCAGTAATTTGATCTTATATATATATATATTTTAAATGTTTTAGGGGGCGCCGTTAGACCGTTCTAGGGGGGCGTGGGAGGCAGCTTGCCCCCCCACGCCCTATACTAAATCCGCCACTGATTAAAAGGTCCTTTTATTTTTATTAAACAATAATCTTTTTCTTTTTGATTTGATTTTTCTTATTGATTTTATTTTTTTTATTGATTTGATTTTTCATAGCTAAAATAACTACCGCCCTAAAAAACAAAAACAAAAAAATAAATAAAATATAGGTAATTTTTTTTTTTAATAATATACATTAATTTTTAAATTTGAAATCACAAACAGATTTCTTTTATTTACTTCAAGATTGCTTGCATTTTTGCGGTATTTTCGTTTAGCTTTGTTTTGGCGCAAATTCTTGAAGCGCATAATAATAAAACGTGGTCAGTTAGTCAGAAAAATTTTTTCTATGCGTGGACAAACAAGGCGTGCGACCGCACGCCTTTCCTGGGAAAGCCTGATATATATATATATATATATATATATATATATATATATATATATATATATATATATATATATATATATATATATATATATATATATATATATATATATATATATATATATATATATATATATATATATATATATATATATATATATATATATATATATATATATATATATATATATATATATATATATAATAGTAATAAAAGAAGAGAGTGATATTTATATTCAAAGTTTATAAGTTATAAAGGTGCAAATTCAGTAATCATTTGTCTGTAATGCAAATCAAAAATTGG